TATTTTTTCTTTTTGGTTTTTTTCTACCTGGTTTACCGAGATGCATCAGGATATGAAAGTGAAAGTAGTCAAACTGAATTTTTAATAAACCAAAACACGGTTTCAAAGCAAATTAATTCAAATTCAAAACTTTAAATTTAGTTTCAAATCATTAAATTCAGTTTCAATTTAGTGAAATTATTTTTCAAGCCAATGCATTCAATTTCAAATTATGCACATTCAGATTCAATCTGAGCAATTCAATTTCAATTCCTGCTGGCACAAGATTAATCCCATAGAAAATCCCTGTTTGCTTTWGCAGACAACTCCTCACTATCCAGTCATAAATCGAACATAAGGTTTCACCTGTTTTGTTGTCTGCCCTGATTTTAATTATTTTTCTCCACTTTTCCTGGTTGCTCTTTAAAATTTAATCCGAGCGCATTTTGCTCCACAGCGCACGCCAGAAGCACAAACAGAGTGCTCAGGACGAAMGGCGGACTGGCTCGCGCCTTATCATCTTTGTGATCGGAGGAATAACTTACTCTGAGATGCGCTCCGCCTACGAGGTCACTCAGGCTGTAAAATCCTGCGAGGTCATCATAGGTGAGGAATGAATCAGTGTTTTACTTAGACATGGTTTTAGTTCATAGTTTGTGTTTTTATGTATTTTACCTGAGTATTGCTTTGATGTCGTTGGTAAGCTTTTCTTTTATTTGCGTCCTTTACCTTACAATGCTTTTACCTGGTTTTATCTTTGGATTGTTACTCCCCCTGCTGGAGCATGTCATTCTTTACTTCACTAAAAAGTTTTTTTTTTTTTATTGTGCTCAGGGTCTTCTCACATTTTGACCCCTGTCCAGCTTCTGGATGACATCAAAGCTCTGAGCAAAGGCCCAATGGAAGTTTTAACAATTGAGGAACGAAACAACGTCTGAAAATCTGAAAAAAAAAAAACCTTCCTGAGCTTCTCTGTGTCCTTACATCTCAAATCTCTCAGCAAGCTGTTCTCAACTTCCTTAATGGAATACTAAAGGGAATTATCCTTTGCTCATTTTTTTTCCCCATTCATTGCTGCACATYTATAGTTGTAGACATGAGGACATGTTGTGCAGCTCGGTCATTTCACTTTGCAGAATTTCTTATCTGATTTCTAGCATGCTAATATAGCTGTAAATTATGTAGCTCATATTCAAAGTCAATTGACGTCATCCTACTAAGTGTGTTTTATTTTGAATAAAAAGTTTATTATGCCTATTTGTTCACCTTGGCCTTAAATAAAGATGCTGGTAATGTTACAAACTGAGGAACTTCTGAAGACCATTGGGAGGCAGAACAGTGTGACGCGGTGGGGGGAATAAAAGCACAAAACTAATGTATATACTGTATGTATGCACTGAGTCTCTGTCAGTTTGACTTTTCTGTTCATTATTGTTGATGTAAACATTTAATGTAATCTGAATTGTGCTTTTTAACAAAGTATTTACACTTTTCTTGAACTGACTAATAAACAGATGAYGTGGTTCAACTTTTCATACTCATTTTTTTCTTCCCTGTTCAAACTAAAGCTAAACCCCATATATGATGGACAATAAATAAGTGCTAAATTAAGAAATG